ATTTGGTGTATTGTAAATGAAGGAAATGTTATGCTCAATGGAGCATTAAGACATATGTCCCTTGGAAGTCATATTAAAGAATTTGGTAGGGGGACACTCAACATAACAGGCTCAATCTAAAAAAACACCATTGTATTCAATGAAAACTAAAGAAAGCTTTAGCTTAAGTATTTTGATTTCAAAAATGGTAAAATAATGACATTTTACAGTTTCCAGAGACAATGATTGTGATCCAAGCAGAGAATACAGAAAATTTTAGGTAAATTTGGTAGTTTGAATGTATTTGACACCCATAAGCTCATAGGGAGGGGTACTATTAGGAGATGTGGCTTTGTTGGAGAAAGTATGGTCTTGTTGAAGGGAGCTGGATGACAAATATCTTTAATACAGACACTGAGGCTGAAGGGCACAACTTTAATCTGGGACACTCCTACTGTTGCAGGTGTGTCACTGTGGGGACAGGCATTGAGGTCTGTTTCTCAAGCTTCCCTCCGTGTGACAATCAGTGAACTTCCTGTTGCCTCTGAGTCGAGATGTAGCACTCTGAGCTCCAGCATTATGTCTGCCTGCATGCTGCCATGCTCCCCTTCATGATCATAATGGATTGAACCTTTGAAAGTATAAGCAAGCCACCCTCAATCAAGTGTTTCCTTTATAAGCCTTGCTGTAGTCATGTTGTCTCTTCACAGCAATAAAAAACCAAACTAAGACAGTAATCAAATTATATTTCTTCATTGGATTATTTTGAGGACTAGGATCAGATTGAAACTGCACAGCTATTTGGCAGTTTGGTAATTTAAAGAACAAATCAAAATAAGGTCAAAATATAATGCTACAAAAATATAGCTCTAATGAGGCAAAATAGAAAACTGTGCTGAAATAGTGAATATGCTTTTGCTTGGTATGTCTGTAAGTAGTGAAATAATAAGAACCACTTAATCTTAGTGTTTCCTACTGCTAAACATAATACCCAAGGTTGGGACATTTGTAAGGAATGAAGATGTCCTCATAGTTGGGGAGGCTGAGGGTCTAGTATGAAGAAGCTGGCAGGGAATCACACAGTGAGGATTCAGACTTTGAGTTCAGGCCTCCCTTTTTATTCTTCTGAAGCCACAAATCCTGAATGGAGCTCAGGCCTCATTAGTTCATCCAGTCATATTTACCTCCTAGAGTCCTGACCTCCAGATATGACAACATAATGGGATTAAGTTGCCACAATATGAGTATATGGTCACATTCAGTCCTTCCAGGGTTGCAGAGGGAGAAGGGATTTCGTTAGCCCTATGTTCTCAGGGCGTCATTCTATATTCTTCTTTAAAGAGGCAGAGTCTTGTAGCATTCAAAGAGGAATGATAGCTTTACTAACCAGTACTAGTTAAGTACTGCTTAGGTTGGTCTTTCATGCTTGCTTTCTTCAACATATTCAATTTTTAATCATTTGTAATTTTATTGTAATATTCTACCTTTACAATGATAGCCTATCTTCTTTCTATGGATAGAGATACAGTATTGGCAACAAAAATCACAAACGCTGAAAACGCTTGATTATTTACACCATACTCAGTATTGCCTACACAGCAAGGCTGTCACAGTCAAGCTTCCCCAGCTCTGGTCGAGGTAAGCCAGCCAATTTCTGTCTGCAACCTGGGCGTCTCTAGACTTGCTGATATGTGTTTCATAACTTTTAATGTAACTAAGGAAATTGAAGTAAAAAAATCACTACAAACACCAATGCAATCAGGGGAAAATGCCTGGGAAACAGGACAATGGGATTGTGAAATACAAACCTGGATCTAAATGTATTTTAACTAACAGTTATGAGTTAAACTCAAAGAAAATTTCCCAAGCTAACTTTTTGTTTTGTTTTGTTTTTTGTAATAGCTCTGATTTTCCTGGAACTAGCTCTGTAGACCAAGCTGACCTTGAACTCACAGAGATCCCCCTGCCTCTACCTCCCATGTGCTGGGAGTTAAAGGTGTGTGACACCACCACTTGAGCCAAGCTAACTTTAAGATGGCAAATCTCCCATAATTTTTACATTATTAAAAATAGCACCTATCCTAAAATTGTAGCCTATTTTTCTCTCATTAAACTTGTCCAGTATAGGTGGCAACATGAGAATCTAGGAGGGTTTTAACTATAAAGATGAATTATGTAGACAGTTCTTGAGGCATTTCACACAAAATGTTCATCAATAAGTATTTTTAAGCACTAACTATGGTTTAAATTTACCCTAAAATGAGGTTTGGAGTTAAGAGTGGAATTGCATTCCTAGCAGAGTGAGAAGCCTCAAACAGCCTGAGACCCCAGTGCCAGGCGATCTGCTGCACCTCTGGCCTCTGTGGATACACACACACACACACACACACACACACACACACACACACACACACACACACACACACACACAATTTCTGAATGAATAAATGAATGAATGAATGTAGAAATAAATGATAAACTCTAAAATCAAATAATCTTTATAACCAATAACAGCAAAGTTTATCTAGTACTTTACACATGCTGTTCACCCTTCTGTGTGAATTATGACAAAATTTAGATTGACAACAGCCATTAAGATGAATAGTCATTTTTTTACTACTTTCCTAAAATGACAAAAATGAGTCAAAGGAAGATGGACTATGCTACCCAAGATTAACCAGTTAATAAGGGAGCCAGATTGTGAACTCAGACAGCTGTAACATGGCATTCTAAGCATTCTAAGCAATCTATATTAACAGTTGTAGTACTGATCACATTATTAAATAAACATATTAAAGATACCAAAAGTAGTGAGTAGTTCTGCAGACAAGAAACACATAACTATTGTGCCCCTCAGTCCTCTCATGTTGATAATATAGATACCATCATATCTTGTACTGTATTTTTGTGACCTAAAATAGTGTTAGGGTTTAGAGAAACTGCAAAGCCTTGAGAAGAGTGAAGTGGAAGACTATTTTTTCAATTAATTTATTTAATTTAGAAACAGTATTATTTAGCATATCAATTCCAGTTCTCTCTCCCTTTCATCTTCCCATGCCCTCCACCGTCTCCCCCCATTGCATTCCCCATCCACTCCTGAGGGAGGGTAAGGCCTTCCATCGGGGATCATCAAAATCTGTCACATTTGGAGAAACAGAAAACTCTTAAAATGAGGTAATTCTTTAGAGATAATTGCTTGACAGACAGGTAATCCTGGGTTTGAATTCTTGATTTGGCCATGCAAAATTAACTTATCAGGGCCTTTACCTCTATCAGTTGGAAACATTCAGTGAGAACACACACACATTTCTACTTTTTCAAAGAGATTGAATATTCTTGAATCAGATTACATAGAAGAGTAGTTTTCCAGAGATGTACTGAAATGAAGGAAGGGTATTCTCTAATCACCAAAGCTTTACTGGCTCTAAGAATGGAAACTGAGACTGTATGTGGGTTATTCTGGATCCCCTGCTCTAGGATGCATGATTGGATTGGTCAGGTTTAATCCTAGAGTCAGGAAACAAGAAATGTGATTGGAATGGCACCCCCCCAAAAACTGCCTAGTTCTGCACAGCCTTCCATAGCAGAGAGAATTATACCAGAATCTAAAGTATCACGAACAAAAGGCCTATGCCTCAATGAATGCATTCTATGCCCTAGGCAGGTTTTAATAAGTTTTATATATCTATTTTTCTTATGTTGAAAATAGATTGTTTTCTTATTAATATATCCTGACTACAGTTTTCCTTCACTCTATTCCTTCCTCCCCTGTAGATCCCCCCTTTCTATCTCTCATTAGAAAAGAACAGGCTTTTAAGAGATAACAACCAAACACGACAAAATAAGATTTAATAAGATAAAACAAAAGCTATCACAGTGAGGTTGGGCAAAGCAGCCCAGCAGTAGAAAAAGCGCTCCAAGAGCAGGCACAAGAATCAGGGACCTGTTGTGGACTATTGCTTTAACTATGTAAAAGTGTGTTATATTTGTTTATGCTGTATTTGTTTAACTAAGTAAAGATGTGTTGCTCTTTCACCTTGCCTGCCTAAGACATATGATTGGTCTAATAAAAAGCTGAGCAGCCAATAGTTAGGCAGTAGAGTGATAGGAGGAACTGGCCAGAAGAGAGAATAGCAACCTACTGTCTTAGCAACAGTCTGGATTGTTTGGGATTTCCAAGGGATCCTTCTGAACAACACTCAATTAGATGAACTCAAGTCCAGGTACTGGAAGCTTCTTTTGGTGATAAAGAATGGATGGTCAATTGGAATTCTGTCTCATTATTTGGAGACTTCTTATAAGAAGTTTACACTGCTCAAGGTTTTCATACCACCACTCAGATGCCCTTCAATATTTCTGTCTCTTCCCTAACTCCCTCCCTCAATCCCATCTCCCCTCCCCCTCCCCCCTGATTATCCTATTCTCATACCCTGCCCCCTCTCCAGTCTGCCAATTAAAGATAATCTATTTTTCCTTCCAGGGACATCTGTGTGTCCCACTCCCGACCCTTTTCTCTATGTCTAACCTCTGTGTCTATGGATTGTAGCTTGATTTTCATGTAGTTAATGGCTAGTGTCCAGACATGTTTATCTTTCTGGGTAAGAGTTACTCACTCAGGATGTTTTATTTTAGTTCCATCAATGTGTCTGAAAATTTCATGATGTCCCATCCATTTTTTTAACAAATGAATAATAGTTCATTATGTAAACATACCACCTTTTCTTTATTCATTCTTCTGTTGAGGGACATCACGGTTGTTTTCGATTTCTAGCCATTATGAATAAACAACAAATGAATGTGGTTGAGCAAGCGTCCCTTGGAAGTTCCTTTGGGTATATGCCCCTGAGAGGTATAGCTGGTTCTTGAGGTAGATAGATTCCCATCTTTCTGAGGAACCACCTAGGTAGGGTTTTAAAGCACATGCACATGACACTTTTAGCAAGGCCAGACCAAGCACATATAAAAGAGGAGCTAGAAAGTATGGGAATGAGCTCCAAGAGAGAAAGGCTTTGACCGGGAGGTTTCAAATAACACTCAATTTTATTAATAAGTCAGAAACAGTGTGGATTAAAACAAAGGGCAACAGAATCTCAATTCTATATTTAAGCATGCCAACCTAAATTACAAGGGGTTGACTGAATTTCATCAATTGAACTAATCTGTCATTCAGTACAAGGTACTTAATATTTATGTTATCTCCAAAGCCATCACACTAGGATCATAAGTTGCCACTCTTACAACCTAAACATAACGTGGGAAATCAAAAGTTATAAATACATCTTACAGTTGCATATTTACACTTACACAGAAATCATCAGTACACTAGAGCCCAGCTTTAACATCATACCTTACTTTCACACGACAGGACCATCCTTCACCTTTTGACAACAATTCTATTCCTTCCAGATAAAGACACAAAACAGAACAACTTTGGTCAGGTTCAGGATGCATTTGCTGTATACTACATTCTGTGTTGCTGGGAGACTCTAGTCTAGAGAGATCCATATATAAGTATTCATTTGGTTTGAAAATGCATGTCACTACCAACTGCAAAACTTAGAAGAGACCACAATCTTTTAGATTATTCTTTATGATGACATCTGTTACAGCATCAAACACAAATTGCACATTCTTAGTATCTGTGGCACATGTGAAGTGGGTGTAGATCTCCTTTGTGTCCTTTCTTTTGTTGAGGTCTTCAAACTGACACTGGATATACGCAGCTGCCTCTTCATACGTATTTGAGCCTGAGATGGAAAAAGTATGGAAGAAGTTATGCTTGGATAGACGTAAGTAAAACACACGTGAACGCACAGGCCACTTTTCTGCCTATAAAATGTAGGGACTCCATAACCTCACTTTCCCTTCTAGAACAACATTATTTCTTTTTCAAATGAAAAACACCCTGTGTAAACTAATCTTCACAAACCACCGTTAAGCTTAAAATCTCCTTTACAAGGCATTCTATGTTTGTTGTGTTTCTGCTTACTTCTCCAAGAGCAAGAGGTCTTTTTTTTTTTCATCACCCTCTATCATTCCATGAACCCTAATGGCGATTTAGTATTATTGTGCAACCCACTGGTGAATCAGTAATGTTGGCTGAATGCTTCCCTCTGTCCCTTCATAGTTACTCATTAATTATCTTTTTGTCATCATTTTTATTCAGAACTTATATAAGGACTGTAATATGATTAAACATTATGAAGTTACCAAAAAAGAAAAAAAAATGATGACTAGAGACGGGCTATGAGTAAGAACAATTTAGAAATGGGTTGGCAGATTCTGAGGATAAGCACACACATACTCTGACCCAGAAATCCCAGGTGTGAGGGGTAAGCTTGGTAGAACTTTATGTTATGTTTAAGGAAGATTTAAAAGAAGGCTTTTGGAGCATAGCCTTCTACTTCAGAGAACATCCTGAAAGTCCATGCCTTGTCACTGACATAGGAGTCTGGGAGAATCATATTATTAGCTGCCACTCAGAAGTAAGGATGTAAGCATATTGCAAGACAGAGTAACATGAGTGAAATTCTGTGGTAATCTCTGAATGCAAGGAGCCAGACACAAACATGTACATACACCATGTGACCTAATTGCTGTTTGTGAAATAATCAAAATGGGTGCATGAGGAAACGCCACTCTTAAACAAATTTGTTTGGGGAGAAAAGGTGGCTGAATTAGTTGAGACTGAAAGGGGGCAAAAGAAATTCTGGGGTATTGGAAAGTTCAGTTTCTTGACTCATGTAGTAGATATTGAATTTTACGTTTTTATATTGCATGTTTACTTTCCTCTTTTTTGTTTTCTCTTTATTTCTTTTAGTATTGAGATTAGAATATAATTACATCATTTTCCTGTTTCCTTTCCTCCCTCCAAACCCTGCCATATATTCCTCCTTGCTCTCTTTCAAATTTACAGCCTCCTTTTTCATTAATTGCTGTTATATGTAAATATGTACATGCTCATACATATTGCATTCTTAAATACAACCTGCACAGTCTGCATAAGGTTGTTTGTGTGTATGTTTTCAGGGCTGACTATTTGGTACTGTGCTTTTCCCTGGAGAGACTGTTTCTCCTGTTCTCAGCATTCCTTGGTTGCCTGTAGTTCTCTGTCTAGGTTCGAGGCCTCCTGGATTTTCCCCATCCACTTTGACATGTCTATTGCTGTTGTCCTTGTTCAGTCAGTCATGTTGGTGACACTATGGACATAGCTTCTGACGTTACAAGGAGACACAATCCCACAGTGAAGTCTGTGACCTTCTGGCCCTCAGGATCTTTCTGCCCCTCTTCAGCACTGTTCTCTGCGCCTTAGGTGCAAGGGTGTTTTGTGATGTACAGATGGTGAGTGGGTTCCACAACTCTGCTTCTTAATTGGTTGTGGTTTTCTAGACATGCCTCACACTGTGGCTAACTGTGCATATGTGCCCCTAATATTGTTAGAAAACACGTTAAGGCATAGAACAGAACAAAATCAGTCCCTCTTTTGTAATAACCCCACATCACTTATCTGCCTTTCAAGGCTCTCCATGCTCTCAGACTCCGCTCTTAGGTGCTCGGGTCCACATCTGGGGCTCAGTATGTATCACCAAAGCTCAGTATATAAAGCGCCCCTTATTCTGCAGCACTGTTTCTATGCTGTCCTTCACAACTCAGTGTGTCTGGCTCTTTCCGCATCTGCTCAAAATGCACTCTACATAACATCCCATAATTCACCAAATCCAGATGGGCTCTGTATCATTAAGAACTCTTACAGACAATACAAACTCCACTTCAGTTTTGTTATATGCTTTACTGGGGTCTCAATTCGTTTTCAGCACTGGGTATCCTAAACAGAATGCAAGAACTCTATCTTGCAAAACCTAACCACTGTCATCAGACTATGGATAAGACTACAGTACAATGGATGCCACATGACAGGGCCCAGAGAGTTTGCGTTTAGTGCGCCAGGGCTACTACAGGCCCTGAGGATGTTTATATTCTAATTGCTTCATATAGTAATAACCTTATAAATATTATATTTTATTAAATCACTGGTGCTCTAAAATTTGGATGCAATGAACAATGGCTCATTGGGTTAAGGAAGCTATTAAAATATAACCTGTAAATTAATTAATTACAAATGTGTTTGGATGAAGGAGTTTACACCGAGTACATAGTTCTTATGCAACACACATTCTGAGAAGCTAAATTGCTACACTCCAAGGGCTACCAAATTGAGGAATAAACCACTAAGCACAGTCTTTGATCTGATTTTCAGTCTGAAAAATGCAAGATGAAAGAGGAAAGCGTGTACGTGTGTGTATGTTTCAATCTGTGCACAGCTATGCTGGGGCGATAGGAATTTTCAGCTATGTGAACTTCCCTGAATGAATACATGATTGTGTTAAAGCAACTTCAAAACTAGAAAACTGGAAACTTCATGAGGCAGTGAAAAGAGGAGAGAAAGAAAACAGTATTAGCTTTGTTTATACTTCAGTGCTAAACACTATCTATGTTCAGGAAGCAGTTGAAAATAGAAGCAAGGGGCTGCAGAGAGAAATTTGGGCTGACAACATGATTTTGCACAGTTAAGAATAAATATGACTATGAAAGGATAGTGTGCAGAAAAGATTACAGGGCTGCAAATGGACCTTGGTGAAATGGCAACTCACAATGAAATGTGGCTGGCAGGGCCACATAGGCTTTATCCATAAAAAGCCATAACCATGAGACCCAGGAGCTGATATTGATGTAAGAAGCAACTTACCCAACCATACAGCAAGTAGTTTAATTATAATCTTAGCATTTGAGATATGAAATAACGATGTATTATTCTTGTGTTTATCAAAGATACTTCCTTTCTGCTTCCAATGAGACTCTAAGTAAAAGCAGGCCTGGGAACAGACATGCGATGCACCCGGGTCTAAATGTGGACTGTGTGTCTGCATTAAGCCCTTGTTCTCAGCTGCCTGAATAGGGCTACCCACGTGCCAACACCGATGCACCATCCAACAGCAGCTGTGTGAAAGAGGGCACTCACTCAACACTCACCATCAACCCATTCATCGCAGCGGTGACTCAAATTTTATTTAGACTGTGAGATGCTCTTGAGGATATTTTGTTCTTTCAAACGACTGAGGCAAAGGTTAAAATATTTAGATTTTAGAATTCATACAAACCGTGGCAGTTTTACTTTTTAAAGGTTCAGGGCCCTTCATATATATTTACTTTGTGTGCGAGGGCTGGAAGAGTGGGAGTGAGTAAATAGCTTGCTGCTCCTGGTACTCACGTTTTGTTTGGGGAATAGGTTCTCACGTACCCTGCTCTGTCTTTGAACTTACTATATAGTCCAGGATGGCCTTGAAGTACTGATCTTCCTGCACCACCTCCCAAGTCTGGGGCTCCCAGGTGCGAACACCAGACTCGTTTTCACTAGCAGCTTCGGATGTGCTCCAAGGCCCTAAAGCACATTTAAACCAATGTTTTATCCCAATTCCCGGTTTTACAGCTGAGGCACTGGAACCTAGATAAAGTACCTGCCTTGTTCAAGGTCATAGATCTAATCTTGTCAAAGCTGGGTCTTTCCTTCAAATCTGCTTTGCTCATGGGGTACACCGTCCACTGCAGCAAAACTAAAGCGCCGTTGAGAGCCTCATTAGAGGGCTTGGATTTCGTATCAGCCTCTCCCTGGCACCACGGAGGAAGGAGTGGCCTCTCTGGTTCCTCTTTGCCTGTCCTCTTACAGCACTCGGCACCATTCCACTCCAAAGCAGGGCGACTGCTACAGTTCATCATGTGTTTACTAGCATGCGTGTGTTTGCACTGAGACAGCAACAGAGACACATCGTGTCTGTGTTTATCTAATCTGTGATATGGTTATTGTATGAACAATAGTCAGTTCTTAAATCCATGAAAACATGGCGTCCTCTCAGGAAATTACCTAAAAGCTTTTCCACAAAATGAAGAAGGAATTTTCAGAAAATTCATCCACATCTTCAGGAACTGTTTGTGTTGAAATGCAGTGTGAAAAATGCTATGTCCTCCAATGTGGTGATATTTTGTTTCTGATCTAACAAATCAAGCTTGCCTATGAAGATCAGAGTACAAAGCTCACCACACTACTTCGCCATAGAGGCCGGGCAGTGGTGGGAGGAACACACCTTTACTCTCAGCACTTTAGGAGTCAGAGGCAGACAGATCTCTGTTAGTTCAAGGTCACCCTGGGCTACACTCGATTGAGTCTGTCTAAAAGAGAAACAGAGCTCACATAAAGGTGCTTCCAGCCCTTGGGGTCACAAGCCTTTAATGTCAGCACTAAGGAGGTGGAGACAGGAGTGATATTCTGATCAGAGAGAGGAATAGAAGAAGGGAGGAGACAGGAGAGAGATGCAGTCTGAGGAGCACTGCAGTCTGAGGATGCAGTCAGTCTGAGGATGCAGTCAGTCTGAGGATGCAGTCAGTCTGAGGAGTACTTCAGTCTGAGGATGCAGTCTATGGATGCAGTCTGTGGATGCAGTCTGTGGATGCAGTCTGAGGATGAAGTCAGTCTGAGGATGCAGTCTGTGGATGCAGTCAGTCTGAGGATGCAGTCAGTCTGAGGATGCAGTCAGTCTGAGGATGCAGTCTGTGGATGCAGTCTGAGGATGCAGTCAGTCTGAGGATGCAATCTATGGATGCAGTCTGAGGATGCAGTCAGTCTGAGGATGCAGTCTATGGATGCAGTCTGAGGATGCAGTCTGAGGAGTACTGCAGTCTGAGGATATAGTCAGTCTGAGGATGCAGTCTGAGGATGAAGTCTGAGGATGCAATCTGAGATGCAGTCTGAGGATGCAGTCTGAGGATGAAGTCTGAGGAGTACTTCAGTCTGAGGATGCAGTCTGAGATGCAGTGTGAGGATGCAGTCTGAGGAACAGAGCAGTCTGAGGACGGGATAGTCCCTTTGGTCTGAACATTGGTAGAGGTGAGAACTCTAGTGGCTGGCCGATTTGCTTCTCTGATCTTCAGCATTAACCCCAATATCTGACTCTGGGTTTTTATTATTAAGACCAAAGAATTTGTGTGACGCTACAGTGCAAGAATTTGTAAGCCAATAAATTTAAGTCAACCACTGAAAATCTCACCTTTGGAGAATTTTACCAAACAACACATGCTTTGCTAAGCTATCGTGAGAGACAAATACCTGCATATTCTGGGTAGCATATCGTGAGGGGGCTCTTTTTGATTTTTTCTTCAAAAAGGTCCTTCTTGTTTAGAAAAAGTATAATGGATGTGTCTGTAAACCACTTGTTGTTACATATGCTGTCGAACAACTTCATGCTTTCATGCATTCGATTCTGTAACAGAAAAAAAAATCACTTTTATGAGCAGTGAAGGTTTTGAGGTAGTTTTAGAAAGAACAAATGTTGCAATGGGCCAGATATTTTCAGCTGAAAAACCATTCAGCACTCTGAAGGACGTCCCAGCTGTTATCTCAACTCCAATTTTGTCTTAACTGGTTCTGTCTGACTCACTTTGGCTGATTTCAAACTTAAGCAAAGAAAGCCGTAAAGGCTGACTCCCTGTGATGAACCGGAGGTTGGCCCAGCGAAAGCAATTACCTCCTAATGGGAAATGAATCTCTCCCCTTTCCCACAAGGCAACAACAATTTTCCAGAAGCCAGCAGGAGACCCTGCACAACCAGGCCTGGGACAATGACAAACCAGACCACAGGTTGACCCAGACAGTGGGATGATGCATTATCAACCTCCCCAACCCCTGGCTCCTGACGTTTTCTTTCCCATGTAGACTGCAAGAGCTCTTCTCACTACCCAATAAGAGTTTAGGATGCTAATACCCTGCTCTTCACTGTACCGGATGAATATCTTCCTACGCTGTCCTAGCCAGCCACCTTCTAATTAGAATACTGAGGTAGCGGGTGGCCAGGTCCAGTGGACTGAGGCCTCTATCCAGTCAGGTCTCTTGACCTCAAGCTCGTAGTAATTCCATAATAATACATTTTTGTCATGTCTACACAAACACAACTTAGATTTTAAGCAAGCTGGATGTCTCAACATCACATAATCATCACTGGGTCAGTGCCTACTGTGTAAGGTCTTGTGCCCGACTCCCTCCTGCTGCAGCTTGTTGCCATCAAGGGATGTCCACGTAGGAAGACATCAAAGAAATGTCACTATCGTACACATCAGCTAGGTTTAAGACATAGGTGGAAGCTTTAAAGAATATCAGACTGAGAGAACTGAACTCCAAGTAGTTAACACTGTGGAAATTAGCGAATGTGACTTCCAGGCTTTGTTCTCTGCCCTTTCAGGGTCTGTGTTCAGAGGATGCCGACATATTTTACAGTGCAGGAATGAAAGAGATACATATGTGATGCTGTATTTTCCCTCCTTGCCAACAACGGTATGCACTTGCTTTAGAAAACCTGGAATCTCTCCTAAATTTCCCTTCATATTTAAATGCCAAAGTTTTGAATTCCTATTAAAACGCTTCCCCAGATTAACGACACACTTATTGAATGCTATCGGAATATAATTTTTCTATAAGTAGCCAAGGCTAATATATATCAAAGTTACAAGCTACCAGAGTAACATGGTAAGAAGTCTGAGCTGTGGAGCAGATGCAGGAAACACACAGGTAGCTGGGGTGAGGAGCACCTGCGCCTCCCAAGCACCTGTGCCGGCCCCTTCATGCAGCAGCTGAGAAGCCGAAGAGCCTGAACTTTCAAATAATTCCTTCCTGAGCAAGGATTTCTCAAGGTTTCTCAGAAACGTTCTTGGCAACATCTGCAGCTCCTGGCATTTCACGCCGCACCCCGAGAAGCGCTTCTACTTGCCATTTCTTCGTCTTCAGCTAGAACCAGGTCATAGTCGCTCAGGGCCACACAGAAGATGATGGCGGTCACCCCTTCAAAGCAGTGAATCCACTTCTTCCGCTCTGACCTCTGACCGCCCACATCGAACATTCTGTAAGAGGAAAATGTATGGCTTGACACCACATTAAGTGTTCAAAAGCTCCGGGGAGTTCTGTAATGCCAACAAAAATGCTCTGCATAGCTTGGGGACTGTGGGATAGGAAGAAAGGAGAAAGGGACATAGTGGGAGGGGGAAAATGTTACCAATTCGTTTTCTCAAAGGCACGGGGGGGGAGGGGAGGGGGGGTTAAGTTTTTTTTTAATAAAGTCTTCCATTGCTGTGAGGGTAATTCTAAACAATATATATATATATATATATATATATATATATATATATATATAGTCAACAAACAACATGTATGGGCCCTTAAGGTAGCTCAGCAAATGCCTAACAGCCTGAGTCCAACCCCTAGGTCCGTTCAACATGTACTCTGTGGCATGTTTGTATGTGTGAGTTCATGCACACACACACACATTCACAAGATAATAATAAATTAAAATTGAAAAGTTTTTAAAGGCACAGACATGCATTAACATCCGAAAGCATTTAGGGCATTCAAGCAATTACACATTAATGGATCTCGCCGCTTGTAAACACTGACAGTCATATGAAGCCTTGGGGGGAAACCAGACATCATAGAAAACACACTCAATTTGCCAGTCCCAAGCATTAGAGCCAGAGGATAGGGCCATCGTTTGTACTGAGAAAGGGGTTCTGTCAGAGCAGAAAACAAGATGTTGATGGAATGTCCAAACAATTTCAGTAAGAAAATGGTGGTGAAGCAAAGTCATTTTAGAAAGGGCTCAAGAGGTTTGTGTAGATTACAGGATAAAATGAGAGGGGAGGGGGAGGCAGAAGAGGGGAGGGACCTTTACAATAAAAAAAATCCCTCAATTGTTACGTAAGATACAATCATGGACAACTGGAGGTTACTGTACAGGGTTCTGACACAAGCGAGCAATAGAATGCCAATGACCTTTTCTTCCTGTTCCTGGCAAGTTCATAAAGTTAGCAAAAGTTTACATTTGCATAGGCTACATTATACAGCCCAGAAATAACCACTTATATAATAAAAACACGCCGTAAACTGGCACAGTTTTAAAGGCCCCGTTTATCTCGGTGGTGTACTAATTAAAGCCGTTCCCATTTAATTCCCTACAGAGCAGTAGTGGCCGACAAACCAAATCTGAATCCCTCCACTAGGACTGTGACTGCTGTCATCTTGGTTCAGCTGGAAACTGTTTCATTAAAGAGTACTATAACGAAATGACCCGACCACAGCTGAAGTCAGGGTGGGTGGGATGGGAAGAGAACAGAGAGCAGAGTGGGTAAGACGTGGCCCCACTGTAAGAGAGACCAGACAAGAACAAAGGGAGAACTCATCTATTGGATCAGCATTTGTTCCACTGCCTGGGAAAGCGATTCATAAACGATGTCCCCTCACCTTAGCTTCTTCCCACAGCATGCTCGGCTCATCCGCTGCTGTAACTACCCATCCCATCCTCCACTCTCCCTGTGCTGCTGCAGGGCTCAGCCACTCAACCACTGACTGGTGCTTCTGTGTCACTCACGTGGCTGAGGTCTACAGCTGGCTGATTTTATGGAATGAAGACTGTCCTCGACGGTGTAGCCAGGCTCCCTCCCCTCCCACCAACCAAAAGGCCTGCAGGAGCAGAACTAGGGTTTCTCAGACAAAAAAGCTGTACAGGGCTTTAACCTGAGCCTGACTGCCTGCTCTGCAAACTCAGGTCTGCCAGTGCCTTCCAACAATCCAATCATTCCTATTCTCTGGGGAGGACTGGGTGGCGCAGATGGCAGCACCAATAAGGGGGATACTACAACAAATACCTACAGACATGAAAGTGAAAGGGGGTTGAGAACTGAATAATGAGTAGCACCTTGAAGTGTTCTGAAGCACTTCACATAAAAGGAAACAACGAGATTATCTTGAAATGCACACAACAAAGCTCATTTTCCTTCAAATTCAGATGAAAGTGAGAACCCTGGAGTTTCTAGTCTTAGGGAAAGCATGTACCCTGATGCACAGAATGCAAATACAATAGAGACACTTTTAATGAGGTCTCGGAGGACACGGAAAGTGCCCACTGCGGGGACGGTGACGCTCTAGCAGACCGCCAGAAGAGTGCGGCTGTGTCGCCCGTCTACAACAGAGTCTGCAAGCAATGAATTTGTCTGCCTACAGGGACGCAACAGCAGAAAGGTAAACTGAGAAATAAGCTTCAAGCCAAAAGGGAGTCCAACTCCCTCGTACAGGAAAGAAGGGCATGTGGCAGAACTGTGACATAGGTAGAAGCCAAAGTGTGCCATGAATTGCCAGCAACTACCCGGCACTAAAAACAGGTAGAGATAGTCTTCCCCAGAGCCTTGAGGGGGAGCAGGGCCTCCTAACAGACTGATTTCAGCCCCAACATCCAGAACAGGAAGATGGTGGATTTTTAATTGCTCATGAACCTAGTTTTAGGCAATTTGTATGGCAACCCTATGAAGGGAAAATATTATTGTGCAAATGTATATATTTTACTCATAAGCTCTGCCTTTTGCCATAGCAATTACCATGTCCTAAAAGTTAAATATCTGCATTTCTATCTGCCTTTCCCCTTGAAGAATTTAAAAATAAAGACTTTTGTTTCTCTTTGCTTGTTTGTGTCCCCAACATTTGATACACAAAGAACTCTGTAAATATGTGCTGGCAAATAAACAAACCATGCCTACTGAATACTTTTCAACATTTTCAAGAAATAATAGACATTTTATTGTGTTTAAGGTTTGGAACTGCCCTCTATATCGGGGGAATATTAAAGCCAAAGAGTTTCCATTATAGTGTGACAGTCAGATAATTTGAGGATAGAGGAAACATCTCCCATGTACTTAACTTATGAGCTATAAATGAATGACAGTCCTTCATATATTGGTTGTAACCTGGAATACCTAGTCTAAGCCAGTGGCTTTCAAGTAGTATGAATCAGAAGCAACAACTGGGAGATGCTGAGGTCACTGCTCTGGAACTATCTTTTGAGTAAGAACGTGTAAGACAATGAGCAGCAACAGATGTGACCAGACTGTGTTTAAGGTTCGTAAGTATTTAAAGAGTTCAATGAAGATACTAACCACTCTTTTCAGATTCCAAAATGCATATAAATCACAAGGGTGTTCAGAAGTTCATAATTTTATTCATAAATCTTGTAATTCTTTAATATATTGTTTTTCAAATTCTGATTATCAATTTAAACAATAAAGTTTTCTCACATAATCTGTTCTTTATTATATGAAAACACTGTTAACCTTTATCAACTAGACAATCAATTTGAATTTCTTAGGTATTTTTGTAATGTGAGGTCAAGGGGGATGTTCCTGAGACATACTGCCTAAGTCTTTGAAGTCATCTAGTACCAATGTGGCTAAGACTGACTAGTACAAAATTATTTCATGAAGAGAACACCATGTCCTCAAATCCATTACACATTTGTATTATACAAAAGGAAGGGAAGTTTTTTTTCTTTTCTTTTCTTTTTTTTTTTTTTTTTGGTTTTTATGAGACAGGGTTTCTCTGTATTGTTTTGGAGGCTATCGGTCCAGCCTGGCCTCAAACTCACAGAGATCCGTCTGCCTCTGACTCCCGAGTGCTGGGATTAAAGGCTTGCGCCACCACCACCCGACTTGGGAAGTTTTTCTTAAGCCATGTCAATTTTACAACAGAAAGAAGACATTCAGTCTATATCTAGAAATTCATAACTACAGCTGCCGACTCTTTCATTAGACAAAGACCCTGACCACAAGGCCCACTTATATAGATAGATCGTTAAATTATAAGACATTATCTCATAGCTTGTTTTCTATTTCTTAATCCAATCATACAAAAATGTGCAATGTTTCACTTAGCAGCTAAATTCAGACAAAGAATCAATCGTAGCATGAAATATACAGAGCACTACTAAGTGATTAGCACAGTCAATGATTCATAGCAGATTTAGTCTACATTTCTGCCCTCATCAGTTTGAGGCCCATCTACATAGAAAAAGTATATGTAAGCAATCATTGTGATTTATAACCCAAAATACAGAGGAAGAACTTTTACCTAAAGGTTTAGAGTAGCCTGTGTTTATCTCTAAGTCACTATACTAACTGAAAGTAGGCCTAATGTGTAACTGTATCTCACATGAGGATTCATCCATGGAGTAAGAAAGGCTGGAAAGATCATGGTGACAGCCAGCTGCAGTGAATCTAGGGTTTATCTGATGTTGAAATGACAACTTTGTAAAAGCTAGGAAATTTTGTTCTGGTAGTAATGTGTGAGAATACACTGACAAAATTTAAAGTGATTTCATATGGCCAGACTACCTTAAGACCCAAATAATACACTAACATTTGCCACTGTCATCTTCACATTGATGAAGGTTCATCTTTACATAATCAAAAACAAGGTTTTTATTATTAAACTTCTGATCAAGGGCAACAATCTAATAGTTAAGCATCTTAGTGGGATTGACCCAGCTACTTCATGGGGAAATCTATGTCCCAAACCCTTCTGTTCTAATTGAAATGCCTTACAATTCCTCCTTAGAATACCCCAGCTTACAATCAGCCATTTCTTTACCAAAACACAATAAGTTCAGTGTTCTTAGTCGATGGTCACTAAAATTAGGTAAACTATTGGATGTGGTAGCACACACCTTTAAATTCAAAACCTCAAAAGGCAGAGGCCGGTGGATCTCTATGAAATCGAGGCTAGCTACAGTGAGTTCTGGCCAGCCAGTGCTACAAGGTGAGACCTAGTCTCAAAAACAAAACAAAACAAAAAACCAAAACAAACAAAAAACCAAAGTAAATAGAATTTTTAAAAATTAGACTAGAAGATATCTTTGAGTTATTTTAAATCTTCGAACAATAAATGTCTTTATAATTAAATACCATTGCAGTTTTAAGACAAACGGAGCAACAAAGAAATATGTCTCCAGACCAGACATTGCATATAGTTACTTAATAACCTATAAATTTAACAGGAAGGCTACAAAGCAAGAGATTCATCAAGAGGGAAAAATATACCCACCAAGAGGGACTATATAGAATTTGTGTCGCAGATAAACAGTGTACATTTTCACTTAAGACAGTAGGGAGGTATTCAGGAGATTATGGGAAATTAGAATTGAACTAATGTTCTTTGGAAAGCTCCAATGTGGGAATCACTGATAAGCCAGTGACAATGACAGCAGGTGTCCTTCACCATACACACACACACACACACACACACAAACACACACACAAATACACACACATACACACACACACATACACACACACACACACACACACACACACACACACACACACAGAAGCAAGCTGAGATGGGACTATCTGTGGACAGGTAACTAACTGTCCACCTACCCAGCTTGGAGCACTGAGCCTTCATTAGGAAGTGAACTGATGATGGTTTGTTTATTTCTAACAAATCTCCAATTGAGATTCCTCTTGATCAAATGTCTTTTAGAAATTCTGTCCCATTTATTCTTATCATTTTAAAGACTTGAAACTACCAGAAGCCATCTAACCCATGATCCATAGTAGAGCTTTCTTTTGAATGAATATATTGAACCAGAGCGTTTTACAAGGAAAACAACAAACGAAAATTTCAATGACGACATGAATTGGTCCATTTCAAGCCAATGTAGACAAGTGACACTGGACAGATGAGCAGGCAGCTGCTCCCAGTTTTGCCTTTTGTTCCTTTTTCTCCTTCAACATTTCAGATACTGCGGTGATGGTGTAGAAGAAAAACTAATAGAATATATTTTTTCCAGTCTTATATAGTTTGAATTTATACAAACCAAACATAAAGCACTAAATATAACCGAAAAAGAAGATGTATAATGTGCAATAAATCATTAAACAATGACTTATCTAATCTCACATAAAACTTTAAAAAATGAAATCTTAATAAAACATGGAGTATGAATATCATGACAGTTTTCATAAAGGAAGAGTCATATCATAATCTCTTTTCTAATAACATCTGCAGGGACGGGGGGGGGGGTCTGCTCAGCCTGAGTCATCAGCTGTGTAATGTTCTGCAGGAACATGAAGGCACCTGGCTGGACCTCACCCACGAACACAACTGCAGTGTTCCCTAAACCAGTCTTACTCACAGTGGCTTAAGAAAACAACAAAAGGAAGCCTCCACCTGGTGAACCAAGAGAAATGATATAACACCCACGCAACACATTTAATTCTAGCATTGTATTCATTCTCTGGGGTTACTAATTAGCTGATATTTATATGGTCTAGGGAACATGGTATTAAATACAGTCTGAATAATCTACTTCAGGTTTGTGACAGAGGGGCCCAGAAAGCTGTCCAAGGATGTTACACCAGGATCTTTTCTTCTAGACCCAAGACTGACACTTAGGGAATGTGTCATTTTAAATGAAATTGAATCATAAGACAGGTTTTGAAAAAAAATCCCTCCAGTTCCTGTACAGAGCTTCAAAATATGAAAACATAATACAAAGGAAGACTAATAATAGAAATCTTAAATAAGCATATGATCTTTAATCATCAAGGAACAGCACAGTGGTCTCAGGTTTCTATGAAAGCACAGGCATTTTGTCTCAGTAAACATCCTGTAGTTCAGTTATTGTTCTCAGGGATACATCTTAACATGAAATACGCAGCCTCACGTCCTCTGATTCTGTCATCATTTTTTAAATGGGAGTAAGGTGGGAAAGATGAGGAAAACCATGGTACACGTGCAGGGATACTAACTGGGAAGCCACTGGTTTAGCAAGCACAGAAATAAGAGCAAAGAAATGCCTGTCTTGAAAAAAAAAAGAGCAAAGAAATGTAAAATGAAACACCAACATAAAAATTCCATCTACAAGGGAAAACTGGATGAAAGTGGCTGTCAAGGAGGCTTTAGGACTGGAGCTGGACCTGGCAAATTAAAACTCAGGTTTGGCTGTGACTCAGTCCTTGTCTTTCTCGTTGCTTGAAAACTGTTATTTATCAGAAGCGGAGAAATGCAGTTTTGTGAATGTCTATGTGATGATTTATTGCCTTGCTCTGAAAGTGGCTCCTCCCAAGTGAGGACTCAGAGGCCACACTCCCAACCCCCATTCTTAATGTTTCACACTGCACACACCTGAAGCAAACATTGCCCACCACCAGACTTCAAGTATCGCTTGGCTTTATGAAATTTTTCATGAACAAACTCAAAGGTATCTGTCTTTAAACACATTTTTGTAAGCAAACACATATTCTAAAACTAAAGCTCCTGGTTTTACCTAAAGACAGACAGCAATGCCCTCATCACACATACATGTATATATTACAGACTCATCTTCTATTTAGTCAAAGCAGCCAGACTCTATCATGGTTAGGACACTGGAAAAATGACATGCAAAAGCCACTTGTCTGGTTATTTTGTATTAAATAAAAATTAACATACTCTTCTAAATGTTGTTTTTGCTTGTTTCCATAGCATTATTTTGTCTAATCTGAAAAACAAATTCTTTTTTTTTTTTTTTTTTTTTTTTTTTGGTTTTATGAGACAGGGTTTCTCTGTATTGTTTTGGAGACTGTTGATCTAGCCAGGCCTCGAACTCACAGAGATCTGCCTGCCTCTGCCTCCCAAGTGCTGGGATTAAAGGCGTGCGCCACCAAAGCCAGGCGAAAAACAAATTCTTAACAGTAAAAATGTTACAAACATTTATCAGTTTGCCTATTGTTTCTAAAGCAATGCATTTTAGCACCAAGCTTATAGGCCATATATTTGGAAGTTACTTACTTAAAATGAAGATCTTTGAAAGTAAAATGAGTTTCCACAATTCCTGTTGTTTTCACCCTGGTCCGAAGAACATCCTGCTGAGTTGGGATGTAATTTGGTTGTGCTATTCTGTCCAAGTCATTCAAATAACTGAAAGCAAACAACAAACACAGTGTTAATAGGAACTAGAACCAAACAAGGTTACTGAAAACTACAGTATATTTTAATTATGCAGTGTTCTCAAGTTTTCAAGTGTCTTTATGAGTATATAAAACAACCAGCTTAACCTTCCAGGTCACATAAATACTCAAAAATCTTTTAATGCCTGTTTAAATTTTGTTAAGATTTGTTTTTCAGTCATAGCATTGCAAAGGAAAGCGCCTTAAACATGTCTAAACTAGAAAACATCATGAGCTTTTTTCTTAAAAATTCTTCCTTACACTTTCAGTGTAACACACCATGCTTGCTTGGATCTAAACTTTGGCCTCTGTTGAAGATTTCCCAGGACTTAATTGTGGAGGCAGTGGCAAGAAATCTCAGCCACTGGTTGGGAGAGATGTTTCCTGCTGGTCTATATTTCACACAGGGAAATCCACACTGTTCTTTTCTCTAATTTAATAGCTCTACAAACACTGAGGTCTCCTAAACGGTACAGGCTCCTATCAGTGACCTTATCTGCCCATCACAATTAGAGGATAAATAAGACCCTCCTGTTACCCACAGCTAAACACTGAACTGAACTCCTGGGATCCAGTGACAGAGAGGGAGGACTGATGAGCAAAGGGGTCAAGACTGGGCTTGTGTAACCCACAGAATCAGCTGACCTGATAAGGGTTAGCTCTTGGACCCCAGACTGATAGCTGGGAGTCCAGCATGGGACTGATACAGACCTCCTAAATGTGGGTGTCAGTGAGGAGGCCTAGGCAATCTAGGGGGCCTTTGGTAATAGATCAGTATTTATCCCTGGCACACAAATGGACTTTGGGTGCCCATCCCACATTGAGGGATGTTCTCTCAGCCTGGACTCTTAGGGGAAGACCTAGGCCCTGCCCTGAATGAAATGACAGACTCTGGAGATTCCCCATGGAGGGCCCCACCCTCCCTGGGGAGTGGAGTGAGGATTGGGTAGGGGACTGGAGACCTGGTGGGAGAGTGGGGGAGGAGGGGAGGGAGAGGGAGCTGGGATTGACATGGGAAGCAAGCTTGTTTCTAATTTGCATAAAAATATATAGGCATAAATGAAAAAAAAAGGACCCTCCTGTTAAGGTACCACACAAAAGCAAGCTGGGATAGTTTCCCCTGAAGGTAAGCACTATGCAGGCTGCTGGGGAGAAAAGGCTGGTGTTGCAAACCCCACTCAGGAAAACATCTAAGCTGCCAGTCAAGATGTTCCCGTCTCTCAATAGTAGCGCCACTATTACAGCGGTAACCAGCTGCCATCTGATTTGACCCTGCTCCACAATTCAGGTGCGCATTAACAACCTCTGTCTGGGGAAGCTGTAGGCCCGATTATAGTTACAAAATTGATATAGCATCAAGCTGCTTCTAAATATGTATATTTATACTCCCAGACAAAAGCTACTCTCAGCCTTAATCAGAGAAGGCTCCCTTTAGAGTGAATGGTGGTGAACGTTGAGGTTCATGGGTGTTTAACATGAAGAGACTAAGTGATGTTTGAAAGCTCAAATCTAAACAAGACATTTGCACCACCCTCTGTAAGGCACAGAGAACTTAGCAAGAGGAAGCGGTGCAGGGAGTATCCAAGAGCCAGATCAGTGCTCCGAGAAAAGCAGAGTGAATTTCTGGAAGTTTCGTGACATCTTGGATGTATATTGGAGACAATCCCATTCTGTACAGTTCCAATTAAAGATTACATATGCATGAGGCTTTTCAAAAAACGGGTAATAACAGTATCGCTATCACAAACATTCAAAAGTAAAAGAAAGACAGAAAAAGTATTCAAATATTGTCCCTCGAGAAACTTGAGTTGTATAAGTACATGCCAGGCAGTTCTCCAGAAGGTGACACGAAGGATAAGCTTGCACACGATCATTCATTACAGCAGAGTTCTGAAGCTGTGGCTACTCACTATGCTGCAGAATCATTGAGCTGGTACTCTCTGGATCTGTTGAAGCAGGCCTGTACGCCACTGTCTTTCCATAGCCTCTTTATGACCCCAGCAAGCTCTGCAGTCATGAAGCCTTCTTCCGCAGCTCCAGCAAGCACGAAGAGCTGGCGAGCGTCATCCTGCAATATGACAAAACAAGGGGTGATGGAGCGATGAGAAGAAAGATAACTGTGAAGTTCCCTCGTGGGTTTTTAAGGAAGTGCCACAACTTTTCTTTATCTGAAGCACCACTTGAGAAGCTGGTATACAAAGCCAAAGTACGAACATACATCATGGGCCTATGCTTCGTGGTGTGTGTGGCAGCTATGAAAGCACCTGGAGTTGGAAGAATAAAGTCAGAGCATCTGAAGGGACATTCACTATCCACCCAGAATGTATGTCAGAGACAGCAGATCATTTAAAAAACTAACAGACGAATGATACGAAAAGTCATTCTTCTCCAAATTCTTTTAATCTGAGAAGCACAACATCATTGACAATTATCTGAGACACAATCTAAGTGTTCGCCTTTTGATGCAGTTTGCAGATGCAAAACATCATCAGCTGTGGTGATACATTATGGTTTATTAAAGCTTGTCTGAGGATTCAGAAAAGTAAAGCAGCTGGCCACTGGCTTCTTACTTCTAGCTCAGGCTGAAAGGGGCAATTCTGTCTCCATGAGCTCTCACCAGGCCTCAGACTGTAACCTCTCCTCAGCATGGCTGGAGAATGACGCCTCTCAGAGATCTTCTGTCTTATATGCTTCCCTAATGCTGGGATTAAAGGTGTGAGCTATAACTCTCTTTTAGACTGATTCACTCTTGTGTAGATCTGGGTGGCCTTGAACTCACAGAGATCTGTCTACCTCCGTAATCCTGAGCCTTGGCATTAAAGATGTGACCCACCACCTCCTAGCTTCTGGCTCCTAGGATTAAAGCCGTGTACTTGGCTTCTATGGCTTGTGGCTGACTTTACTTTCTGAATCCTCAGGCAAGTTTTGGAAGAGAGAGATCAAGGTGGAGAAAGCCACAAGAGTTTCCCAGGATAGTTTGCAGATTCTCAAGAGACCTTCATCTATACACGTATTAATAATCTACAGGAAAGCGGCTGAGGGCAGGTGTTTGCTAGCCCAGGCATAGGGGAGGAATCAAGTACAGCTTTGGAGGAGATACGCCCACAATGCATGTGAGGGTGACAGACACCGCACGCAAAGTCTGAATGAATGAGTAAAAACTGGAGATGAAGTTGGTCTGGTTCCACATTAGCGATGAAGCTGCTAACAGTTAGTGAACCACAATCAACCACACTCAGTCACTAAGTCAAAGAGAAACAAAAGTCTCTGAATGAATCCAAGTTGTCTTCACAACCACGGCTTTATAGAAAGGGACCAGGAGGCCTGGGGAAAGGAGCGTCTATTCACGTGGACTTTATTCACAGAACTCTACTAAGATCAGACACATAGGTAAGTTCTCTGCTCTGAATGTAGCAATTACCATCCCTAGTCACATAGTGGAGACTCTAGGTAGAAGAAACAGTCTAAAACTAAAACCTCTCTGTCACAAATTACTACTTTACTCGAATTATTTTTAGCTTGAGATATGTGCTTTTGTAGTGGGTGCATAAGCCATTGTTTTTCCCAAGGTACTTCCTTCTAAACTACAGCTAGCTCTCCAATCCTCAGTTGAAAGTAAGTGAAAAGTTTGTGTGTACTGGGGAGGTGTAGAGGTTTTTATTTTTTGTTATTTTTATCACTATTCTATGTACAATGCTGTATAAAATCAATGATCAGGTCATTACTAACAGTAATTTAGAAATGATTTGAAGGGCACGGGTAGGGTTTCTAAAGACTACATGTAAATACATCTTTTGGCATTTCTAAAATGGGCTAAAGACTAGCCTTGAACCTATGATCCTCCTGCCTCAGTGTCAAGTACTGACATTACAGGAGGAGACTACCACACCTGGAAGCTTTATTACAGATAAACTTGGTCATCTTCAGATTTTGGCATTTGCTGAGTGTTCTTGAACTAATTTCCCACCTCTACTGGGGGATGAATGCATTGCTGTCGAGTTTTACAGAAGTATGACGAGGTGTGAGGAGAAGTGTCTCAAGGCAGGCTTGTGGGAGAGGCAAGCCGACGATACAAACTCATCCTACCGCTAATTCGTGAAACATTTGCTGTTCAGCTGGAACTCATCATGGAAACTAATTAAGTTTCTCAGCATGGGAACGCATTATTCAAGCATATGTTTCTCTCTTTAGTAAACCACAAGAGAAATACATGCAAGTCAGCAGCATGCACACATCCTTAGTAAGGCAGCCCACCAGACTCAGCCGCTCTTGTTAGCACGGATCTAGTTCCAATAAGCAATCAGACCACCTGCCAGGTAATAACCTATACATAAAAAACCTGCCATTTTTAAGTATAGAACCATAGAAAACATATATTTTGTTTACAAAAATATTTAAGTAGGTTTTTTGAATGTATTCTACTATGCAACCTTTCATCAATTTTAATAAAGTTTTGGCAGAAGAGACTAACACCCTCCAGTCTGGGTCATGGAATAGGAGCCTTTTCCTTCCTGCTTTCTAGGAAGATGCCCTAAAGAAAACACAGAAGGAACTTTGGACATTGTATTTATAAACTTCACTTCCCCAGGCATTCAAATGTCTCTGCCTTTTTTAGACTGCACACGTAAGTGAGACCATGCGATCCTTCTCTTTCTGAGTCTGCCTTATTCGACGTAAGACAGTATCCACTAGTTCAGAAGAAAATGGTGGTCAAATTTGCAGAGATAGAAAATTAAACTGTGCCCAACTGGGGCAAGGGAAGTAGGTGAAGGAACAGGAAGTACAGTTCAAAGAGTAAATAGCAAAAGACAGGTTGAAGCTAGGTAGTGCAAGAAGCTAATGCTCAATACACCTAAATTAATCACATAATTGCATTTTATTGGGCTTATGTTAATTAAGTTCATTTTAGCAACTCTCCTCACTCCAAAATGTAAGGTGTGAGACAATGGACATGTAAACTCGCTTTCCTGTGGTAACTCTACTATTTTCTTGTGGATCCCATAACATCAAATTGTGACCTTCAAAACTGTACGGTAAAAATAACGTTAAAAAACTCTCTTCTTCACAAGCTGTCAAGGAGCTTACTCCCCTAAAGTAACTGGAAGCCTGGCATGCTGTGATGATGTACAGCTATAATCCTGGTACTTGGAATGCTGACACAGGAGCATCTCAAGTTCTAGGTCAGCCTGGGCTACACAGTGAGTGTAAAGTCCATGAACCCTGTTACAGTGAACCCTGTTAGAGGAAAAACTAATGGAAATATTTGCCTCCCTGCCACTGGCTTCACATTTAGCCATCATCAACAGGTGAGCACTGAGGTAATGAATTTGAGCAGAACGCACTATAGGAAACTGTCTACATAACCTTCTGCCTTGCACAACCCAAGGCAACTTGCCTCAAGACGGCAGCCAGTCACCCAGTCATCAGATAAATCAGTAAATGAACAACCAGTAAGCCCTTATTATATAAAATAATTGTATGAAAACAAAAGCCCCTTCTTGTCTAAAACAAGAAAACTTAAAACAGTAGGACAATGACAGTGCTTTTATCCCACTTTGGAACAAGGTCTTTGCAAAATGTGCATAAAACAAAACTCAAAATCACCTAAGGACATCAACAGCATCCACAGAGAGAGATAAAAGGGACAGTGACCAGGGAAGATATGCCTGGAGCATGCTTAGCGTGCTTAGTGAAGCAGAGACAGGAGTCATGTCAGGTGGATAAAAGCAGAGAAGGGCTGGAGAGCACAGCTCAGAGGCAGACTCAGTTTGATTTGCAGCCTGTCCACTACCTCCAGACCAGACCACTCTCCACGTACTAGGACAGCAGTGTGAGCTCCACTGCTGCCCAGATTATGTAGATGATGTCCACATACATACAAATAAAAATAAACTTCACCTTTTCTTTCTGAAGACAGAATGGGCATGGGTGTGGAAACGGGCTAGCTAAAATGTGATCTGAGAGTGTCAATGCCATCTCATAACTGGGCTTTGGAGCTCAGAACAGAGCCAGTGCAGTACTGTGCTAGGGAGACAGCACAGGCTTGCCCAGGGGTAGGCTAGACACTGGGCTGTGGTGTGCATTTTATCTCATACTTTACAGCATTCAGAGGCCTCTATCCAGGATGGGGAAGACTTTGAAGGACCAGGATGGATGACTTTTGACATGTTAAAGGTCACAAAACAGAAAGGGTACACTTCCTGTGGGGCACAGAGCAGACAGTGCATTTTCAGGGCCAAACACAACAGGATTTCATTCCGGAGCTCAATGCACTCTTTAATAGTCAAAGCAGTCTAAAATATGAAAACCACAGGGGAGGCTTTTAAAGCAATGGCCAGATGACTAATCATGACACAGAAGACAAAATTCCAGATGAAAGTAATCTTTGCATAGAGAGAATCAAAAGGCCCTTCTACAGTACAAGGGAGACAATATGATAAGCTAGATGAAGAACAGTGATAGCTCTGAACTGAAGCTATCAAGGTAACTGTCTGCTGTCGGATCTGACACGAATGGACATCCCTCGTCCCAATGCTTGAATCGTTTATAATATTTGCCAGTGATATTGGAAATCACATACAATGATAGCTTCTCACGTTTAACCTACCACATTCCTATAGTTCTGATGCTATATATATGTATATATACATATGTGTATATAACATATATATATATACACACACACCATATATGTGATATATACAAAGCTCTTAAGAACTTTAATTGGGACAGCAAAGGACTTTGGTGTGTTTGACACTCTTGTGGTTCAAGACCAACCTCAGATGATGAACGGTTGCTTTAAGACACATGACACTGTAACAGATTCTCTATAATCAGAAGTAAAAAGATGATTTGAGACAAGAAAATAGTCATTTCTCTCTCCCACAGTATTTAAAAGGGGGAGGGACAAAGCCTAAAAATTATTTAAAAATCTAAGTTAATTTTGACTCCATTTAAGATTGTGACATTTTTCACTAAATTTCAGTGAATTTATGAGGAATCATAAGCTCCATTGTATTAAGACAGGAAATTACTGGTAAATGTATTACCAAAAACCATTTTATGCAT